AAAGCCGATAACCAATGCCGAAAAACAAAGGTTATGGTTTTTGAAAACTAATCATTTGGAAAACCTTTAAATGTGTCCAGAAGCATAAACCAAAGATAAAAACGCAAAAACCATTTGGTTAAAATCAATGCCAATAACCAATGCGGAAAACCGAACGCCATAGTCGAACGCCGATAACCGATGGTTATGGTTTTGGTTAAGCAAGAACCATGGGTTTTAGAAACTTAAAAACCATTTATGAAAACACTCATTTGATGCATGAAAAACATATTTTGTTTTGAGCCATGACGTAGAGAAATTGAATGAGCTTGTTACAATAAAACCTAAGTCTTTAGAATACGTCTTCAAAACGCCAATGTCGCCATCTTTAGCAGCGTCAATGCCTTTCTTGTGCTTTTTGTTTCTTCAAAGAACTTTTTCTATCTCTTTGAATCTTTTCATTTTGTTCCATGTTCCCGACGGTTTGTCAATATCAAAACCTAAATGGAAACAAACATTGTCATTAGCAAAATGTCAAAGTGAAAATGTTTTCCAACAAACCTTATCACCAGAGAAACACCCAGACTTTGAAAGATTGACATAACCCAGTGTGGGAAAGTTGTAGGATCGTTTTCTAGAACTTCCCAGTGGGTCACCCATCCTGAGACTACTCCCCTTCCAGCATGCTTAACTACAGAGTTCTGGAGTTAAAGAGGTGTCAATTGTTTCCTAAAAACCAATTGGTGATAGGAAGATGAACACTTTGCATTTAACCACATCTCTCTGTAGCACCAAGCCGAGGTAGATTCCTATAGGGCACCCCCTATAGTTCACTACGGTAGTGCGGAGCCCCAATACTGAGCGGTGGATGGACAGGAGGGGCTTCGCATGATACACGACTCATGTATCGGGTCAGATTGGGCTGTCAATACCCGATACCGTGTCAAGCACAGTAGCGAATCCCTAAGGGTGATCGATGGTCCCCATAAGACCAACAAAAGTTTCTTCGTTTTATTTTTTACTCATTTTTAGAGTTCTTAAATGATAAATTTGGACAAGATTAGGAGAACTATGTACACAGTTTAGTAGGCTCATAGAAACTGACTAGCTAGTCTAAGTATCTTGCAGTAATGAGTTCTTCCAAGATTCCATCACATGCTTGAAGACATGTTATCTCTTACATTTATAAAGTTTTCTCCTTGCATACGATGGTCAATAATTTATGTTCCCATTTTTCACACAAATAAATTTTTTGTTTTTCTATTTTACAGGTTTTGTCAGTGACATTGGATGAATGGTCAGATGAGGGGATTGATGCAATGATCGAGGTTGGAGGAAATGCATCTGCAAACTCAATCTATGAAGCATATATTCCTGACGGGGTTTCTAAGCCTGGGCCAGATTCTAGCCATGAACAGCGTGCCAAATTTATCAGGTTAAATTATATATAGATATGATGTTATTGATCCATATACGCGCCTTCCCTGTAGTCATAACACATGATTTTATAAGGTTAGTATCTGTCGTAATACTAGACTCGTGAATAGTGTGTCAAAGGCCTCCTAGTGAAGATGTAGCTTACGTATGATATTTGCATTCCTTCTAACATATTTAATATGGAATATTTCAAGTCTTGTTATTTTTCATTTAAACTAATAGGATTTTTTTATACAAGCAAAATTACACTCTAAAAATAATCTCTGATGTACTACAAATATATAGAAAGAGCAACAACATAAAAAAAAAAACAATGATAATAAAATCACAATGAAATTATATAAGTAGTTTGAATAGAGTTGAATTTTACGTGGTTCCCCTTTGAAACATATTGAAATAGAAATGGGTGATTGGGTGAATAGATATTTCAACGCTCAACCGACAAGACTGACTTCCCATGATGAAATTGTTTTAACCCCTTCCTATGAAAATAATTAAATTCCTCTATGCTACCTCTTAGTATTTAATATTAGGGAAAAAATAGATTTTTCAAGAACACCACATATAACTAATTACAATGCATTAGAGCGATATGATGCATGTAAGTTTATTCAATAGAATGATTCTAATTACTCTCTACATGTATTTATAAACATCTTCTTTGACACTTGAATCATAATTAAAAAATTAAATAGGCTTTCACAGGGTCATGTAGGTCAATCATTAAGCAAGTTGCATGTGATGTAAGTGATGCTATAATGATGTAGAAGATCATATTTTTAGGTCTAAATATGAGCTTCAAGACTTCTTGAAACCTAGCTTGCGTATCATGTCGGCTCCTAAGAAATCCTCCCTTCAAGCAAGTTTATCCAGGAAGATTATGGACACATTTCGGAGTTCAAGTTCACATATAGTCGTAAGTTAACTCCCTTGATCTGATAAAAAGAGTTTAGTTTCATTACATGCTTTTGTCAAAAACATGTAGCCTCATTTTATGAAAACATGCCAATTCTCATGCTTTATAATGAAAACATGCCAATTCTCATGCTTTATAATGGTTGTACGTTATTCAAATTTAAAAAATTGTACCGTCATGAAGCCTGATTGTTTTTTTTTGGGAGGGAGGGGCTAACTCATAACCACATCATAAATCTAGATATAATCTTGTTTAGACAAATCCCAAGTTTTGAGTGTTCAGTTAGGTTTTAGTTTTATGTGAAATGACTTTCAAGGGGATTAATTTAAAAACTAATGACTTTAAGTTAGGTTTTAGTTTTATGTGTTTTAAAAAGCTGGGGATATTTTTGGGTAAAGACAAAAAGAACTTCAAACACTACAGTATTTTTATCAATATCAAATTGAAGCTGCCCCCAAACAGGCGCTCAGCCGCAAACAGAGCTATAAAAATATAAAACAAATATACTCATAGTCTGTAATTAAACCATAGTTTGTGTGTCTATATATATATATATATATATATATATATATATATATATATATATCTGTGTGTGTGTGTATATATATATGAGATAAAATGAGAAAGATGCTTCATGAAAGGAATGAGAATGCATATTGTCGATTGGATTTGAGATCTAAAGGTTGTCAATTAGTGAGAAATGGAGGTAAATTTTTGAAAAACATGGTGGCATAATCATAAATAAGTCAAATTTTTATGCCATTGCAAAAATGCATTACCTTTTTTGAAACATGCATCTTGACGAATCAAAAATGAATTATTCTCATTTCTCACATTAAGCATCGCTCTATACTCATAGATGAGGTTGTGGTTTAATTACTTCCATTTTTTTCCCATAATTTACACACACTCAACACTAAACTCTGCTGTCCACAGGAAGGCATGGTAGAGTTCATTGGAATGGTGAAGGTCAAAGTACTCAAAGGGAAAAACTTAGCAATTCGAGATATGCTTTCGAGTGATCCATATGTTGTCTTAACTCTTGGCCAGCAGGTTAGTTTGCATTTGGTGTGAAGGTCTAGACATTGGGATATACACACGTCTTGTACTTTTTTATAATGAGGTTCCTGAATTCTTTTAATTTTTCACACCTTATATGCATTTTTTTCACAAATACTTCAAAAAACAAAAAAATTGAAGGCATTAGCCACTTTTATTATGGATATTTTGTAGACATTACACTTAGCACGAGAAAGACCTCATACTTGAGCTCTGGATGTTTTATTCAAAAGTTTAACTATGTTTCTCTCACCATTTATGATTTTTCTAGAAAGTGCAAACAAACGTTATGAGGAGCAACTTGAATCCAATTTGGAACGAAGAACTTATGCTTTCTGTTCCTCAAGATTATGGATCCGTGAAGTTGGTAAGACTCTCATTTCCTTTTTGGATTTTTTCTCATATTTCAAATGATGTCCTTGTTCATACGTACACGCATAGTAGTGCAATAAAGTAGTCTAAATTTATAATGAGGATAATTAACAGACAAAACTGGGCTGATGAGGGATAGATTAATAAACTCAAAGAATATAAGTAGTTAGATTTGACTATACATTTCTCTTATTTCACTATATATATGCAGCAAGTTTATGATTATGACACATTCTCTTGTGATGATATAATGGGGGAGGCTGAAATTGATATTCAGCCCATGATCACATCAGCAATGGCATTTGGAAATGCTGGAATGTTTGGCGATATGCAAATAGGGAAATGGTTGAAATCTCACGATAATGCACTAATTGAGGATAGTTCCGTAAACATTGTTGATGGGAAGGTAAAACAAAAAGTATTATTAAAGTTGCAGAATGTTGAATCGGGCGAAATTGATCTTGAAATAGAGTGGATTCCCCTTGACCAATAGGTGTATAATAATGTAATATTTCTCTACTCTAATACTCTCCCCACATGCATGCATTTGATGATCGATAAGGTATTTATTATGAATTGTTTGAGTCAAACAATGTCATTAAAATTGTGTACCTTGTGATATACTATTAGTTAGAGAATTTGTCCTCACATATACACCTTTTATAGTTTTGTCCATGTTTTTTATGTTTGATACAATACATAAATATATATATAAATCCACACGGATATCATAAGGCCAAATATAATGTACACATACTTTTCATCAACACATGACTTATTGACCGTGTTGATCGAAATATGAGAATGTGAATCATGGAAGGTTTTTCGATTAAGCAAAGCTTCAAAAGAGTTGAACCCTTTAGTATCACAATAAATTTATGTTTTAAACTTTCACAGCTTGGTGGCCCATCCCAATTATCAGAAGAATGATATCCCTATAGTCAACTTATAAATAGATGGTGGATGATGCCTATTTATGGTGGGTGCATAGTATCCTCTAGAATATTATGAATAATTTACAACATGCATTCCAATTTAAGTACCTAACTAACCTTCTCAATCTGGAATAGCGGAAGAAGATTGTTGTAGGTTGATGGAAAAAAATATTATGTTATTTATTTTGGTATGTAGAGAATACTACATAATAACTATATGGGTCATCATAGATTAATTAGTTTCACTGGTCTCATAGTAGTGAGCAAAAGTATTCAAGTAACCAACAAAGCATTAGATAATGAAGGATGAAGTAAAAAAATATATTATAGATACACATCTCAAGTAGTGAACAAAATGTTGGAGAAGTAAATATAGATTTTTTATAAAAAAAATATCGATTAAAACATTGTCACTCCCAAGCAACGACGCCATTTGTTAGAATAGTTTCAATGGTAGCCAACATTCCCAAAAGGATCATTTTATTCCCTTTTCATATTCTTAAAAAGTGGACGAATGATATAAGTTAATTTTTCTACCTAGGCAAAGGTTAGGACGAGTCATGACAATTTTCTCATTTCAAAATGCACAAAGGGTAACTAAACTACTGAGTTGTTCATTGAAAATTAAGTCTAATAGGCCCGGTTTTTAGCTATATTTTTGGTAAAAGAATCATTTAGGTTTATTGTTGTCACATTTTAATTGATAATGGGAAATAATGATATTCCTGTCACATATGATCCAATAATTTAGTTTGCTATCAATGCATCCTTCAAGCGTGAGATAAATTTTATTAATTAATTAATTTAATTTCTCAACCTTATTAATTTCACAATAAAATTTATTCTAGAATAAATACTTCAACAATTAATTAAAAGATCACAGTATATGCTTAAATTTAGATCAAACGATATGCCAGATCCTAACAAATATTATACTAAGAGTGCGTGAAATAAGAGAGCATTTTATTGAAATAGAAAACATTAAACTTAAAATCAAAGGAGAGAGTCGTATCCATATTGAGCTAATCTAAACAAAATTAAACTACCTTATCAAAAAATATTGAAAAGAGCTAGGAATAGTGTTTGCTAGGCCTAAAAGGTCCTGGAGGAGTTGATGAATAAATAAGGCCCAAAGCCCACCTTTTCTAGGTTTCAATGTTGTGGGATGGGAAGTGGGGCAACCGCCTAGCAGGTTGCCTAATGTTCAGCATATATTTCACACATGAAGATTTCAAAACAGTTTGCTCTCATGTCACAAACTCAGGGAAGGGAGTGGGGCGGGTAAGGGTGGGAAAGAATCCCTATCCTGTTGTCCCATTCCGAAACATCCTGGTCCCCTTCCTATAATGCCTCGTTTTGTTTGGGATGGAATATTTTTGTCCCAAACCTATTCTGAACCGACTTAAGTTAGAATGAGACTAGGACAAAGAAAAAGTCTCATGTTCAGTCATGTTTTCCAGTGTATAAATGTCTAAACCCAAATATTGATTGGCATAACTTTTTTTATTTTAACTCCGTAATACTTGTGAACTATAAAACTACTTTTTCAATATTTCTATATGTTTATATTGCACTTATAAATAGTAAACATAAAAAGTTTTAATATCTGTATTGTGAAAAAAATTAAATTTTTTTATACAAATTAAACATCTTTAATGTTGTCTCGGACTGTTACGACTTGTTTTTTGAAACCAAAATTGTTAGACAAATGTGCAACTCTAGAGGGGGGGTGAATAGAGTTGTTTTCAAGAATGTGCGTTTTTCGCGAAAGAAAAAAAAATATATCGCAGGAATAAGTAAAGAGAGTAAGGGAAAGAAGAACACCGAGATTTATACTAGTTCACCACCTCGTGGCTAGTCCAGTCCTCTGAGAGACTCTCTCGAAAGTCCTACTAATCTTCAAGCTTCAACGGGTGCTTGAAAAACCGGTACAACTTGAGAACTTGAATCACACAAGCCTCACTTTCTTACAACAACAAGACTTGAGTCACACAAGTCTTTTGAACAACACTCAAATGAGATTGAGTTTACAACACAAGAATGAAAGCTCACACAATTGAGCAAAGTAGTGTTTGAAAGATTTAAGCTCTATGGATGACAACTTCTATAGCACTCAAAGAAAAATATTTCTAACTCTCAAAAATAATATTTTTATGAGGAAGATGAAGCAAATGATGAATATAGCTCAAAGAAATATATTGGAGTGCAAGAGGTGTTTCTTGAAATGAAGGAGAATGAGGGATTAAATAGGCTGAGGAAAATAAAGCCGTTGGAGCAGGCTGAGAATATGCACTGGATAAAATTAATCGATTAAAGTAAAGCTTTAAATCGATTACTGTACACAGAAGCGAAAAGCCTGAAAAGAAAACTGAATCATAATCGATTAAATGAAGACAAATAATCGATTAGGAGGTTCGGTACGAACTAATCGATTAACGAAGGATAAATAATCGATTATTGATCAAGTTTGAGCAGCCCAAAGAAAGGCTTATAAATCGATTAAATTGAAGCAACAAATCGATTAGGAGGTTCTGTCCAAGCTAATCGATTTTCTTAAAAGAAATAATCGATTAAGAATTCAAACCTGAGAAATTGCGCTGGATCTAATCGATTATCTTAAAGGATATAATCGATTAAAATGAAAAATAATGCG